TAACAGACCTCATGCCTGAAATCGGGTGGTCGTGGGAATTATGGGTGTTTGGAGCGCACACATATCCCCAAGGGTTGAGTAAATATGGCTTTGGGCACTTGTATGCGAGGACGTGGGGTTTCATCTATTCATTCCCCTTGATTCAGGCTCCTATTGAGACAGACTGGATACAGACATGGCCTCGCAAGGATACGTGGCAGTGTATAAGGGAAGTGTTGTTTCGAAATCTGATGCTGACTCTTTCTGCTACTGGTCAACCAAAGTTTCTTTTCTGCATTGGGATATAAACGATAGACAGTGGCGTGTACATTGATGTTGACGGCATGAATAAATATGCTGTGGTAACGTGGAAGTGAGGTCTGGAGACGTCTATTCGATGTTCTTAGCCTTAGGATTTGGAGGCTGGGGATGAGAGAACGGGTCTACGCAGAACTAAAGCAACCCCCAGCTTGCATGGGGACAGCGGCATTCTGGTAGCTGAAGCATTCTCGAGTGCTTTCGTTTAAGGATGGCAAAGTATACTAACATATTCTAACAAGCAAAACCGCCACCAACACCTTGCCTCATAATTCTGTACAAAAATTCACTCATCCAAAGTGATATTCCGAGTATATAAAACGCCGAAAAAACCGGAAAAGAGAGTGCAGGAAATCACCAATTCCACGTCCTAGAAGCTGCAGAGAAAATCGGTGGTTTCCATTGTAAGCGTTCTGGATCGATGGACCGTTTACCCTTGATTTTCTCCTTTGCTTTTTGGCGCTCGCGTTGTTCGATCACGGCGTCGGTGAGGACGATGACATGTTGGTTTTTCTGTTTCTATGTCAGTCTGAATTTTGGGGTGGGCCGGTATGTAAAATTCAGGGTTAAACTGCAGGGAGATGGATAGGTTTGTACTCACATTATACCTTAGCATATTCAAATTTTGAAGGGTATGTAGCACATCATTCGTCGTCATAGCCGTCGTAGCACCCAAATCTTCGATATTAGCCTCCACCTTCCCTTCCATGAGCAAATCCACAATCGTTTCTTGCCAGTAAGCTCGGTATCCCAGCAATCCGAGATCGGATAACGGTTTCTCAGGCGAACCCAACTTGCCCTCTCGTTTCGAGAGCTCGTAGGAGAATGCGATGAGTAGTTTTCCAAAACCTTTACGTTGATATTGCGGCAGCGTTAGGATACAGGCGACGTTGTAGCCTTCAGCGGACTCCTTTTCCTTAGAGAAGTAACCAACGAGGTGGCATCCGTGCTCGTCGCGCGTGCACATACAATAGAAGAGGAAGGGGTCAACGTCGTAGTACAGTGTCTTGTGGTCCAGGAACAGCTTTGATAGAAGACAAAGATTCCTACACCAGGTTCTCTGTCTCCGTCCATCTATCTCGAAAAACGAAACGTAGTCGTCTCGATAGATCTCGTTCCCTGGAGGGTGGAGTAGTGTGCACTTCGTCCTGTGCCTTTCAAACTGCGTGACCTCACCATAGTAGCTTAAACAGTATTCGCAGATGAACACCATCTCCGAGTCCACAAAGTCGATTGGATAGGGTGAGAAATACCAGGGTTCTATCTCGAATTTTCCCATTTGGATCTTTTCCAGATTACGCACGCGGGAGATTTCGGTCTGGTTTTGCGTCATGGAGCCGGAGGTACGAAGCTTCTCGATTTCGTCTTCCCGCGAGTAGATCTCAGTGGGTGCTGCTTTGGCTGCGGCAGCAGCATCCTGAACGTCAACGAGATCCATTTCCTCATCATCTGGTTTCGGAGTCGAGCCATCGGTGACTTCACTCGTAACCAAGAGCTCTTTATTCTCCTTTCCACCCGCTTTCGTCGGGCGTGGCGCTTTGCCAGGTAGATTTACACTTGTCGCTTCAGGGGTTGCGCTCACTTCCCTATCTAACTTACTTCGCGATTTCTTCTGGTTCCTCTGGTCGGATTTGGAAGGAGCCTGGGCCTTTTGATTTGTAGTAGTCTTCTTCTTTTCAGGTTTCTCGGGAGCAGGCCATTCGACTTCTCGCGAGAGATCGATGCGGTCGGCTGAGATCCATTCGTCGAGACGCTTGTTAAATTCTTCGTAGTGAACGTAGAAGGTAGGTTTTCCACGACGAGTTTGCATGGATAGGATCTCGGCTTTGCGTTTCTCGCCATCCTTGTGGGTTTGTTAGTAGGTGAAGAGAAAGAATGACTTAAATTGAGTTTACGCAAGATTAAGAGATGTGGGAATGGATCTTTGAAAAGTTGAAAGTGTGAGGAAATGAGTAGGTACATATCAAAAGCGCAGGAAAGATATTCGGGACTTGAAGAAAAGTGACCTGAAGGTGGTACTGGTCGCAATACCCCAGTAAAGTGCATCGCGTCGCGAACCTAGTACATGTAAGGTACTCACCTTCTCAACGAAAGCTTTCACTCCGATTCTGCACAACACTCATCAGTATTTATCTCCAAATGCTCAGCATCATTTTCGCACATACCTCAGCGTCGCCAGGGTGGCAAACCCAGTTTCCACTGGAACCGGCGTCCCCCCGGGCTCATGAGAATTTTCCCTAGGAGCCATGGTCGCCTAGAGCCCCTGGTAGTTATTTATCGATGAAAAAATCGCGTTGTGGATTGTTGTTGTCGTGAAAGGTCGATGGATTCTTGTCGCTTTGCGACGCCGAGTTTGACGTTCCTGTCACTCATGGCAAGTCACGTGCGAAGAGGGCCTGAAGCACGGGTCACATTGAACATGAACTTTTGCAGTGAGTTTGAATGCGCCCACCTGCACACCGACAGAAGAGGAGGGTCGGCCACACCACCATGACTGACCGATGACAATTATCATGGCGCCAATCGAGCTCAAGGACCTATCCGGGAACTGGAAGGAGCTCCAGAAAACACTTCGATCTTCGAAATCCCCATCCTCAAAACTCACCCGTCCGTCCAAGTCTAAAGAAGAAGAGGAGAACAAACCCCTGAAGCGCACACGATCTAGTTCCGATGCCCATCCTCACAGCTCACGCACGGTCGGAAAGCACTCCGTAAATGATAACGGAGAAACTGTACCCAAGCCAACTTCGAGGAAACGACAAAAGATGGATGAGCCCCCGACGATTGGGGCTTCGAAGAAGCATCATGATACCCACACTCTCCGTCCCAGCGTCTCGATGCCACACCTCAAGTCTTTCTCCTCAGCCCTCCTCGTCGATCCTTCTGCCGCAGCAGCCCCCGTCTCCGTCCTAGCACCTTCTCTGGACCACCCAGACATCGAAAATGAAGGCCTCTCCTCCACCGCCTTGCCCGGCAAATACATAGCTCTGGACTGTGAAATGGTGGGAGTAGGTCCAGAGCCCGATCGAGACTCTGCGCTTGCGAGAGTCTCAATCGTGAATTATCACGGTCACCAAGTGTACGATTCATATGTACTTCCAACCGTACTTGTCACCGATTACCGGACCCCTGTGAGCGGGATAGAGCCACGGCATTTGGAGCCTGATATAGCAAGGAGCTTTCAAGAAGTCCAGAGGGATATCAAGATTTTGCTGGACGGAAGAATACTCGTCGGCCATGGAATTAAGAATGATCTCGGAGCCCTAATCCTCAACCACCCTGAACGGAACATTCGCGATACCTCAAAACACCCCAAGTTTAAGGAACTCGCCACACTTCCCGGCAGAACGCCTGGGCTCAAGAAGCTTGTTAGTGAACTACTTGGCGTGGAGATTCAAGTCGGACATCATAGTTCTGTGGAAGATGCTAGGGCGACAATGGCATTATTCAAGCTTGATAAACAAGGCTTCGAAAACGGGGCTGTGAGGAAGTATGGACATATTAAACTGCCAGGTGAAGAGAGGGATATGGAGGATGGGCATCCAGTGAAGCGGATGAAGAACAAGAAGAAAAAGAAGAAGAAAAAGGCTTAGTCGGAGATACTGTGGACGATACGGCTTTGGAGGCTTCCTATACCAATTATCTTGGTACAGTTTTTCGATTTTCTGGACGATATGGATGAGGTTAGGTGGGTGTTGGTTGTGCATATATCCCAGATATGGATAAGTGGCGTCGAAGTACTGGCATTTGACATTCGGCAATGTTTATTACTGTTGAAATAACGATATAGAATTGATTTAGGCCAAGGAGGATTTGAGGTTCAACTTAAAGAGATTGAAGTGTGAGATCGGGTCAACCTTGGCGCTCTTTCATTCACCATCTTCAACACCAACGATGAAATCATATATACTTCAAATTCGCAGTGCTCATTTGTTCTTCTTCCCGATCCTCTTTCCAGCCGCAGAGTCAGAATCCTCACCCGGTACACAACACCTATCCACAGACACCACCGATGCCTTAGGTGAGAAGAGTGCGACTTTTCTTAGGGATAAGGGTGATACATGTGCGTCGTGGATCCTAAGAGTATCTGGCAGAAAACATTTGGTTACTACTCTCAAAAACCCCCGAACTAGGCCGGTCTGAGAGGGTCGAGAGTCCGTGGACAATGAGAGTTTAGAAAGGATTTCTTCAATGGTAAAATCCCCGGAGTCCAAACATTAGGTCGTCTGGAGACTGGCATGGTGGATAGACATAAGCTTCTCTATTTCATATCCTGTTAAGATTATGGTTAAAGAATGTGTTCCGAGTATAGCCCTTAGAGGGCTATTGGAAAGTGTGATAGGTATGAGAACTGAGTTTGGGCTCGGAAGGGTGGTGAAATCCGCGAACTTGTGCTGGTCTTTGCAACGCACCCCACTTAGTAATGATCAAATATTGTGTGAAGATACATAACTTCTGGCTTATATTGGGCCGAAGAAGTTGTCAAGGAAGAGGATCTCAAACTTCGAGGTCAAGACGGGATGGGGGCATTCACGAGAAAGTGGGGAAACAAGGGGACAATTTCCTCTTGCCGGAAAAGTTTGCACTGTAATTTGCCCACTTTGTCTAAAGCAGTCAGAAAACCGCCTTGAAACCGTCTTCTTTTATCTTTGAAGCTTCCACCGCGCTATATAAATTTGAGCTTTTTAAGAAAAGGTCTTCACGGAGATATAGTGTAGTGGTTATCACTCCGGATTCTGAATCTACACATTAATTCCGGCAACCCCGGTTCGACTCCGGGTATCTCCTGCTCTCTTTCCCCCCTTATTGTCTCATTTTTGTTATATTTTTATACTTCGATAACCTTGCCGGCTTATTATTTTGCTACTGTTTTAAATTGTTTTCCCTTGCATTGTAGGCATAGAGTGGTGATGACAGAAGCTATCGCGAACTCTCACAAGCGCGGCTTACTATATATAATTTTCACGAATTTTCATCCTCTATTTTTCCTTTCAGTAGAGGATGCCAGAGTAAACTCGATATTCATGGATTTCACGGATTTTAGATCTTTGAATAAGCAAAAGCGTGGTTGTAGGTCTTGCGAATGAGCATGTGCATGCAGGACATCAAAATAGTGGCACATTTATTGAAACTGAGAAGCCAACCTTCACATTGATGCAGCTACTAGCCTACTATATCTTAGGAAGCTTGCTATCTTTGCTTGATGTTTGCTGTGAGGCATGATTTCCAACAACACCAAGAAGTAGAAAGCAGCTTCAACCTGAAATCTTCCTCTGCACTGTGATATTGTAGCAAAAGTTCTTTTTGGCAATATGCCACGCCACTCCCTAGCTCTACAAGCCATTTGTGGAGGTATTCACATCGTGCATAGCTGTGGAACAGCACTTACTACTAGCTGAGCAGACTTGTGTTTTAGTGTGCCAGTTATCCCCTGCTCCACGTGTCTTTCTGGATGACATTAGAATTGGCATGAGTCGCATCACTCTCCTCTCTTATGGGCCAGTATCATTCTTTAGGGAGATGTGCAATTGATGCCTGGACGTCGATGTCATATTTACACAGTATTCCCCTCTGCATGCCTTGATTTTGTATACATATGATACACCAAGCGCTCTGCTTGTACCTTAAATTTCTCCGCTGGGTCGATTCCTCCCATGAATACTACACTTGATTCGCTGCAGGATAATCGCAACTCGTCTTTGCCTCGCTTCAGTACCACAGGATCACCATAGCATACTTATTCCCCATCATCCGGCTTCATCTTCCACCTCGTCTTCTTTACCTCCTGTGTAATCGACACATCCTCCTCTTTCTTCTTCCCCCCCAACACCGCTCCAATCAAGCCACCAGGCTTGGGTACGGGGCACTCCCTTTTCGGCACTTTCCACTCTTCTGACTCCGCTACCTTCCTCCTCTCGTTGCTTACAACACCATTGCAAGTTTCCTCCCTCGCTATGCTTCTTCGCCGCCTCTTCTGCTGTCCTGATAATGCTTCCGGATCTTCGGAATCTGCAAGTGCACGTGTGTCCACAGGACAAGGGAGTAAATGGGGAGTGGCAACGACCAGGAACGATATCATGAGCGTGGTCGTGAAGAGGGAGGTCGTCATCCGCGAGCGGGGGTGTAGATGTGGTGGCATTTTTGCTGGTGCTTGGTAGGGAGAGTTATTGCAGGTGCGTTGGAGGTATCATTGGGCCTTGAGTGTTGTCAATGCGGCATTCGAGCATATTGTAAGAGATAAATAGATCGTACCGACCTAATTGAGATCCCCCCAAGTGACCGTTCGGTGTATGGAGGGCAACGGAGTGGGCGGAAGTGACGATAGCTGTTTGGAGGTGGTCTAGGGAGTTCTGTTAGCTCGATCTTTGCCAAGGCGCTAGAGAAGATCCCTGCAAGCAGCGCATTGGAAGCGAACTTAACTTCCAACATCCAACACTATGAACTATCATCAACGAAGGCGATTGCTATTGTCTACCCTTATGCCCGCTAGTTAGTTATCATGGTGTTGAATTGAACGACCGAATATCCGCAACACGCAATTACCGCTCGCTATTACCCCTCTCAAACTCGCGACGCCACCGACGACGATATATCTTTCACTCTCCATACAGCTATCTAGGACCATACGGAGTATCAGGCTGGTAAACACTAGTTTTGTCTTAATAGTTCACCTCCAAGGTCACGCGATTCTACCGTTTCGCAGCCTTCCGCGGGTAACTAGTCCACAGCGATGAGCATCGGCGGCAGCGACCTCGACAAGTAAGTCTCCCAGCCTCCCATGTCCCATGAACTTAAACTAAATCGCCCCTAGAGCTATCGCCCAACTCCGCGCATGTCGTCCTATACCTGAGAACCAAGTCCGCGAGCTATGCTACAAAGCACGAGAACTCCTAATAGAGGAGGGCAACGTAGTGGGAGTCGATGCACCCGTGACGGTATACCATACTGATTCCCCGGAGTTTGAATCGAGGCTAATCTAGACCTGTTGTAGATATGCGGCGACATACATGGACAGTTTCACGACCTTATGGAGCTGTTCCGCGTGGGCGGTGACGTACCAGACACAAACTATCTATTCATGGGTGGGACTCTGCCCAAGCTTGTCTCAAACAGAAATAGAAATGCTAATTCCATACAGGCGACTTCGTTGACCGGGGCTTCTATTCACTCGAATCTTTCCTCCTTCTTCTCTGTCTCAAAGTCCGATACCCGGACCGTATAACCCTGATTCGCGGAAACCACGAGTCGCGACAAATCACCACCGTCTACGGCTTCTACGACGAATGTCTCCGGAAATACGGGAGCGCAAACGTATGGAGGTAGATCAAATCTCCGTCTCTCCTCTGTCCCCCTCCTCGCGACCGGAAAACTAATCTGGATACTTATACAGATACTGCTGCGAAGTCTTCGACTACCTCGCCCTCGGCGCCCTCGTCACCGGCGCCGCAACCTCCCTCTCCCCCACCGACGGCCCCCTCGCCGACACCACCAACGCTGACAGCATCCCCGACCCAGACGCCGATATCGAAATCGAGACGCTCAACGCAAATGGTGAAATCATGTATCGGTATGCTCGAAATTCGGACTCGCAATCTTCATCCGCCGCCTCACAACCAAACTCTACCCCAGCCTCCTCCAGCCCCATAGCACCGACCCCCTCCCGCGTCGGCGCCGCCGGCACCGGTGCAACCAGCTCCGCAAACGGCAGCAGTAGGAATGATACAGGCGCTATACTATGCGTGCACGGCGGCCTGAGCCCGTTAATCGACACGATCGATAAAATCCGGCTGCTGGACCGTAAACAAGAAGTCCCACACGAAGGCGCCATGTGCGACCTCCTCTGGTCCGATCCCGACGAAATCGACGGCTGGGGCCTGTCTCCTCGCGGCGCAGGCTTCCTATTCGGCGCCGACATCGTAAAGTGCTTTAACCATAAGAATGACTTGAGTCTAATTGCCCGCGCCCATCAACTCGTCATGGAAGGTTTCAAAGAGATGTTCGACAGCACCATCGTTACCGTCTGGAGTGCACCAAATTACTGCTACCGCTGCGGAAACGTGGCTGCGATTCTAGAGCTTGGGGAGGATGGGAGTAATGCAGGGTTCGTGAGACGGAGTAATGGGGATGCTGGGGGAGGAGGTGGAGGGTGGGTATTGGGGAGTAATGTGGGGAATGGAGGGGGTGGGGGGTTGAATAGGAGGTTGAGTTCTGTGCTCGGTGAGCAGCAGCGGGCGAGGGAGGGGCCCGGGCGAAGGTATAGGGTTTTTGAGGCGGCGCCTCAGGATAGTAGGGGGATGCCAGCCAAGAAGCCAGTTGCAGATTACTTTTTGTAGTGGAGGTTAGGAGGAGGACGGATGAGAGGGTTGAGGAGTGAGAATACCCGAAGTGAAGATTTTGGCGCAGACTCTTTATGGGCGAATTTTGGGAAACTAGGGGTAGGTTGGGGATGGGGATACGGATGGAGATACGGATGGAGATACGGATGGAGATACGGATGGAGATACGGATGAACCCTTTCCATGTAGTTCCACCTCAGACCTTGATGAGTACAAGGCAAGACAAAGCCAGCCTATTTAGATCTAGAAATTTCTGTATCTGTATACATGTATCAAGCTCCATCAAGGAGCTCCTCATCTTTCTGTACAAGGGACAAAGGAAAGGGGAGCCGAAGATCAGTCGACAAATTCAATCGCTCGTATGCTTGTGCTTAAAAGTTCATAATATCTGGTCGAAGTCAGCATTCACATCGCAAAAATTCTCCTCTCCTCTCCTCTTTAACTGGTTCAAAGAGAGATAGAAAAGGCATAGGACGACCGAGGAAATAAAGCTCACCTCTCCCAAAAAGCGCCCTCTTACTCCAATCCATCGCCAACAAACACCTCGTCCTAAAACTCACGCTCTGTGCAAAGTAAATGCTCCGCCACAGATATACAGCCAATAATCCACCGCTGAAATTCAACCCGTTGATATCGAAAATCGCCGCATTGCCTATATACGCCAAGGATCCCAGATGCTTGTACTCGAAGGCTTTGTAAACTGCATCATCCAAATCTCCATAGTCCATTTGGTTCAGGCTCATACCGGGCGCCGCTTGAGCAACCTTATTGAATTTACGGCCCAGGTATTGACCCTGTTGGTGCGCTCGCTGAGCGGTGGCCGGAAGAGAGGTCAGTTTGGAGTCGATTTGTAAGAGCAGTTCTCTCAGCTCGCCAAAGTCGAGAGTGCCAGATTTGTCCTTGTCGTATTGTTCGAAGAGCTTGTCAAGTCTCCTCAAATGATCTGAAGCCTGTGGAAACCGCTGCTTGACGCGCTTGGCCACTCCTCTCCAGTCGGCATAATGTATATGCATTGCTTCAGGATCCTTGCCCTTTTCCCAGGCTAAGGTGCGTAGGAAGGTGACGATATGGTCGGAAACGTTGTTTTGGACGGTGGAGCAGTCGCCTATGGCGTAGACGTCGCCGAGAGGTGCGCCCACAAGGCGGAGATGGGTGTCGGTTTCTAGGGCGTGCTTGTTGTTTTGCCCTTCGAGTTTTGCCGCGATACGTTTGCTGAAGTCGGTTTGTGAGACGCCCGTAGACCACAGACAGAAGCCCATTGGGATCTCCTTTGTAACAATCTTCCCATTCTCCTCTTTCTGAGAAAAGAGGATCTTATTAGATTGAACTTCCTTGACACGAGCATTGGTGAGGACATCGACTTGATCGTGGGCGAAGCGCTGTTCCGCGTAGCGGGATAGAGCTTCGTCGTAAGTATTTAGTATATGTCCGCGGCTCTGAATCACGTGGACG